GGTAACCAGCCATCAGTACATACTAGCTGTTGCCCATATATGTAGCTATATAATTAAACAAAGCATAAACATTATCATACCAACAGCAGTGATACTCTTTAGGCTCATTTCTCTCTTATGTAACCTAATTTCATTTCCAAATGTCTGTTTCTAGACAATTTTGAAATGTGTGAAATGAAAATATTGCTGAGAAGAGTACAAAATCCTAGCAAGACTGAGTTGCTTACACATAGGAGAGTGCTAACTTAGGGCTCAGTTGATCAAATTCGTGCAAGCTTAGGGCTCGAGTTTAACTCCTCTGTAGAAAGCTGCCCGAAGCACTATGTGCCTGAATGTTCAGGTGAGGAAGATCACTTGGGCTTCATGGCCAGCCAGTCTAGATGAAAGAGAGACCTTGTCTCCATCAGACAATTAGGTGGATGGGGACTGGAGAGATTGCACAGTGGTAAGAGCTCTTGCCGCACAAGCACAAAGGTCTGAGTTGGAATCTCCAACACACATGTAAAAAGCTGGATATGGCCACACATGCTGAGCAGGGTCAGAGACAGGAGAATTGCTGGAGTTTGCTGTCTACCAGTCTAGCTGCAGGTTCAGTGAGAGACATTATATCAGGAGGATGAGAAAGAGAGTGATATAGCAGGCTACCCAGCATCCCCTTCTGGCTTCTGAGTACCATCAGGGGCACACTTACCTGCACAAACATGTACACATATACCACATATCACACATATACACAACTTCTCCCCCTCCCCCCAAAAAAGTGGATGGAGGAGGAGAAATGATTTCAAAAGAAACCCATAGTTGACCTCCGGCCTCTACACACACACATACACTTGTGCATACAAATAGGTATACATACAAACACCTACAACATACACAAAGGGATGCCAACATTTAGTAAGAGCTAACAGAAAAACATATTGTGTATATTATTCAACTGCTATCAATTACTTACACAATAGCATTGCCATAAACTGTCCCAACTTCTAGTTACATACAACACCATGCAGGTTGTAGGTTGGTGACTTGATGTCTTATGTAAGCTAGGATTGTCTAGGTCATTCTATTTTAAGATATGAATTACTTAAGCTTGGTTTCAGACTCTACTTTTGGGTTGAAGGCTGTTCTGCCTACTCCTTGCTCTGCTTCAACCAGCAGCTGAAGTGCATCTTCTTCCCATGGCAAATGGTGGGCACATAAGACACAAACCCAGTTATGCAGCACATTTAGATATGGCCTGTATTTTGTTCACTTGTATTGCATTATCAAAATCAAGTCGAGTGGCTAAGTCCAGCATCCATGGAGTGTAAGTATTTTCTACTCACAGAGGGAGGACATTGACATATAATAATCCTATTACAGGGGTGATTGGGGAGCTTGTAGGTTCAAGATATCTTTATTCAGATAAATACCAGCCAAACACAAGCCAGAGCGTGCCAGGGCAGCCAAGCAATGAGGCCAGGGAGAAGAGAAAGGAGAAGGGGCTTCCATGCCATGCGTCATCCTGACCTCACCTTGACCACGCCTTGACAGGTGTGGTCAGGCACACCTGTAGCCAGCCTCTAACAGGCATGGCTTATTGTCCCCTACACAGGGGACTAAAGATTTAGGACCAAGAATTTAGTCTGTAAACTTCTGTATTTGAACTTGCTTGTGTCTAAAAGTATGCATACCTGTACACCAGAAAAGTATCAGCCTACCAGCCAGAAGTACACATCAGACTGCCTCCTCAGCAGCTGCCGTGGACTTAACACAGTCAGCTTCCCATTCTCTTCCTGTTTCTAGATATAGCTTGTGGAAGGAACTAAAAATATCAAGATAACACATGGTGGCCATAATGGTGCAACTCTGCCCTTGCAATCCTCCCTCAACACAGAATTAAACAAGCACAGAATTCCCGCCGCCGTCCAGCCAGTGCCAGAATCCTTCATATAGGAAGTCATTCTGCAGGAGGATCCCCTCATTTTATTCATGGAAACTTTGTGAAATATATTATTGCAAATAGCACATGCATAGTAAATATGGCTTAAAAGATCGAGGGTCAGAAACAACACCAGAGAAGAAGGACGTAGCAGCAGAATGCTTTCTTGTTACTACATTTCCCAGCACACGAAATAAAATGTCACATCATACACAACATAAAATCTGTGGAAATTTACTATCTCAGGTGAATATATGATCCTAAATGTGCATTAACTGAGACAATTTAGCTATCTGGAAGCTGGCTTCTGTGTGACTTTTTTTTTTTTTTAAGCTAACAAAATAGCCCCATGCTTCCCTGTAGGTATTGCTTCACATTTATTGTAACCCTTTTAAAATCCCTTCTAGAAACCACAAGTTTATATGCCCTTCCCCACTTAACTTTTTATTGTTTATATGTTTCCTGTGAAGATAGACAGACCAAGCTGTTCCTTACCAAACACTGGTAACTAAGTAATATGACACCCCATGCCCCCACCAGCACCGGCAGAGGCCCACTTCTTCGGTAAGAACTAACCCTTTGAAAGCATTTAAAATGGATGGAAAAATAGAAGGCAGCCAAAATGTCCTTTAAAAGACAGTGAGATGCATGCTAATCTAATTGCCCAAGAGTGCCTGTTGGGTTTTGAAAACAAGCCTTCTGCATTGGCGCCCCCTGCTGGATTTGCGTGTGAATTGTCTCTGAAATTAAAAACAACCTGAACCTTTTCAGCTGAGGACAGGCTTGCTACTCAGGTAGCAAATCCCTCCTACTTCTAGGAGGCATTTCTTCCATGATAAACATGCCAAGCAATCCGTGAGCTAGCTCCTCAAGAGCAGAAATACTCAAATAGAAAGCTAGAGCCGAGACTTAAAATAGTGAGGAAAGGTGTGCTGTTGGCATGTCTATATTAGGGAGTTATGGCCTGCAAGGGAAGGCAGAGAAAACCTAGGATGACCCTCTGAGAAAAGCCCTGTGTGAGAGCACTGGGTTTGGGGGTCTAGATGCAAATTTCCTTTTTATGCATTTGAAACCTCCATAAACAGTTCCCCACACTCCAGTTACTGGTTCCTTTCCTTGCCTGCCTTTTCCTGTTACGGATGCTGTCTGTCCTCACTCTCTAAGGGACATGGAAACCAGACTAATTTTAAAGGCAGCATGTCACCTACAGACTTCAGACCCATTATGAAATCTGTGTGATGAAGTCTGCCTGTTGGGGAATAGCTGGCAGAATTTTTTTTCCTGCCTGACTCAGTCCATTTGGTAGGGAGGAAGGGGGGAAATATTGGCTGGATTTTTGGCACGTGCTCTCACAGCAGCTTGCCCTTGTTAAGGGAACAAGAACAACCATGATGGTTATTTCCTCTCAAGAGAAAAAAAAAAAACACTGCTGTCGCCCTGATGAAGAATCTCCACAGAGAACGCCACAGATGCTGTGCGGAGCCTTCAAATGTGTCACTTACATCAGCGGATTTAGAAGTCCCCAGCTTCTCATATTCAAAATTGCATTGTGTCTGATGGCAAAGCTGGACAAACAGTAGGTTCTGACATGGTGAGGTATTCACTGACTGTGATCTTCTCCAGAGGGAAAGCCGTCCAGTGGATTGTTTTTCAGAGCATCTTCAGAACAGAGGAGTAAATGCTCCTCTGCAAGTGTGGTGATGATTCTCACACTCCTGTCTTTGTTCTGGGAGCCAGAAGTAAAGATGAACCAAGCAGCACATGCCTGTCATCCCAGAACACAAGGGACACAAGCATGAGAACTCCAAGTTCAAGGCCAGACTGGGCACTGAGCGAAACCCTGTCTCAAAAGCCCAAATCAAACCAAACCAGAAAAGAAGGGATGGTGGCAGATGGTGGCACTCAAAACACAAGCAAATCAGTGTTGGTGTCTTAGGCCTACTTGAGAGCAAGGGGTGGAGAGAGCTCAGTGATCGTTCTACTCTCTGACATTAGCTAAGGTGACAATTCTTCATTCTACAAGCAGCTGGGATGGCTAGAAGGTGCCACCTCCCTCCCTCTCATGTCTCTGTCCTCAGTGTTTGTCCTTGCCCCTCTATGTCCAGGGGCATATCCTGAACGTCACTGCAGTTATGGCTACCTTTGCAAAAGGAGAAAGCAGAAACTATCATTTTGAGGGCAGCTTGGATGTCTCAGGACAGCACCCCTACCTATCTCCTTGGTCCAAACAAGCAACACCACAGATCATATTCATACGGAAGGGAGCTCCCAAACAGATGGTCCTGTGGTTATCTGTACATCGTTTTGATAGCTTCTGATTTTCAGTTTTCTGTGTATACCTATGTTTTATGTTCTGCTCCTGTGTCTTCATATAGTAATCATTTATGTTTCCCTTCCCACAAAAGTGATTCAGAGATCTCCCCCAAGTTAATTACAAAATCAGGCCTTCACTTGCCCTTGGAAATGTATTTTTCCTATCTGTGAGTTCACAGCCAGAACGCATTTTAAGACATAAAAATAATTAGTTGCAAGCAGCCAGTCTCCATTGCAATTGCCATTTATTTTACTTTTTCAGAGTTATACAATTGATCAACATAATGAATTCAGAACAAAAAAATTTCATAGCATTGATGTGTTAGGTCATTGTACACAAGATAAGTGAAAATAAAAATTTTGGAAGCACACATCTTACCCAAAATATAAACGGCATAGAAAATCAGCCAAGCTCCTTACCCTGAGCATGCTACTTAATTCAGAGAAGAAAAGAAGATTGGAAATGAAACGTGCCTGGCATTATTGGAAATGGCCAGCAAAGAGAGAGATATTTCTAGCACCGTCGAGTGAATATTGTTTACTTCAACATTCCCTCTAGCAAATCGAGGGAGAAGGGACGAGTATAAATGTACTCAGTTATGTGAGGGATTCTTCTCTTTCATGCCTCTGATTCATCTCTCTGCTGTGCTTTTGGGGAGTCATGCTACATTGGTTGCAATTAATTTCAGCATTGCATATTAGCCATACGGAGATATTTCATAAATTGATTTGATTTTTTTTTCTCCCCCTGTGGTTTTCTTGAAAGATGAGAGCGGTCCAGAGGAAAAGCAAACTGCGGAAGAAATGGAAGGGCAGAGCCAAGAAGCAGGTGGGCTCAGGTTTCTTTTGAGGAGTCTCCTAGGCCTCATCCACAGAGGTGAACAACAACTTTACTCAATGTTATTGCCTGAAAATGCTTGTGCCTTTTTTCTTGATTGACCCCAGTGTTCCTTCTCCTGTCCAGTTCCATTAACTCTTAAGTTGACTGTGCTCCCATAAAGAACATACACTCCTATTCGTCACTCCATCCTCCATTTCCTTCCTGTAATGACAGATTGCTTAGTGACATGCTGAGAATTGTGGGCTGAGACTGGAAGAGCAACATCAGAGCTTGGATGACTTAGGGCAGGCCAAAATGAGCAGACTGAGTTAGAGGGGGGAAAAAGAAACTCGATCTATTGGAATAAAATGAAGAGAGGCTTTCTCTCCACACTAACGGGGGTGTTTTATGTTCTCTTGCTTTTAATGTTGAAGAGCCACGTGTCCTGCCATTTCCCTGCATGTTGTACATGGTGTCATAGAGCCTGGCCAACCTCTTGCTCCCAACAGCTCTAAGTAAGATTAGAAAACAAAACAAAACAAAACAAACAAACAAACAAACGAAAAACCTTCCTGTATCACCCCTCTTAAGAAAAGACAGCTGTGTCCATCAAATGCTTATAGATTTTACACTGTAGAGAATACTTTTAGCATTTATAAGTAATAGCCCTTAATATTCAAAGGGGATTAAAATCATCTTCAAGTTACCACCACCCCACCACCACCACCATACACACACACACACACACACACACACACACACACACACACGCACACACATTTCTGTCCTTAGGAATGTTCTCCTTTAAGATAATAATAGCCACAATCATATAGTTTCTGGCAATACTGCCAAAATAAAAATATTCCCTTTCTCTTCAGTCTCCAAGTTATTTTCCCTGCCCTATTGAGTACCACAGGGGAGCATGTTTTTTAAAGAATCGGCTCTGTCTCCCGTGCCAGCCACATCCTAGTCCGTATGTGGAACTCTCAGAATTAAACCAGGGAATGCGATAAGTTTTCAACCTAAAGCTTCTACATTGCTCTTGGAACTTGGGAGCTCTTAGAGTCCTTTTGGAAAGCAAGCCTTCATTAGGAACTTGGAAGATGGGCTTGAAGAAGTACTAAAGGAAGACAGGAAGGACCCTGCCTGCCTGTTACAGGGTCAGCTAGCTCCCTTTGCTGAAACATGGCCCTTTCCTCAGAACGGAATGCATTTCTGGTACTGTACATTGTTCCTTCCCAAATGTCGCTAGCCCTTCCCCACACACTGTTAGGCAGTGTTGAAGATGCAGTGCACATGAAAAGCTGTCACTGTTTTTACTGTTCAGGGATGACATGTATTAGTCAGCTAACTGCTGGCAGCTGAGACCATGGGCTGACTGTTGAAGTTTTGTAAGTTTTGCTCACTCACTGTTCTGTTCCAAGCTGTCTTTACCAACATTTGATTTTTTTCTCCCATCAGTGTATACACACATACACATACACATACACACACACACACACACACACAGAGAGAGAGAGAGAGAGAGAGAGAGAGAGAGAGAAAGAGAGAGAGAGAGAGACCCACACACACAGTAGTGCCTGTGTTTTATTCATCCGTCCTTTCCCCTAAATCAGTTGGGTTCTGGTAGTTTCACTTTAGTTTGTGACCACCATCTGTGAGTTCATAGGGCAAAAGTATAAGCCTTCTTTCCTACCTCTGGGATATAAAAAGCATTACCACCCAATATGGCCCCGTCTTGGCCTTTTACCACAGGGTCTCCCTTGTCTTCCACATTGGCTCCTCTGGCTTATCCAAGGCTGGCAGAGTCTCGCACAAGGTTTGTTTCAGATTCTGCGGCCAGAGTCACTAGATGCTTTTCCATTCATTTTGCCATTTCGCAGCCTCCTCAGTCAGACAACATAACAATTGAAGATGTGGTTCTGGTTCTTAAAGCCCCTTTGACCTTTATTAGTTTCCAAAATAAAAACATCTTGCTTTCCTTCAACATAGTTTCCAGTGCCAGTGTTGATTGCATAACTCTGCAGCTCTCTTCCACATGATGGAAAAACACAATCTCAAAATAGCATAATTTACAAGTACTGGCAGCTGTCACCATCAAATCAAATACAACTGTATATAGTGTTTATCAAGAAATCAATAATAAATGTATATTGGAGGTTTGTTGCCTCCCCTGCAAACATTTCAGTTAGTTTTAAAAACAACATCCATAGTTCCTTGAAGCTTATCCTCCGATGGAGGGATACAAACAATAAACAGATAAAAAGGATAAAATTATCCAAATGTTCAAGTAGCTTACAGGGGGTAAAATTAGTGTAACCCTTAGAGGGCAACTCTATGGGGGGACTCACTGAGGAAATGTTGCTTAAAATGAGCTCTGAATGTTGAGATGGTGAAAGACCATTCTAGATAGAGGGAACAGATAATAAATTAGCTTCATGCTGCAGGAGTGCAGTGTGTGTGACTGGAGTAGGGTGGGCTCCAGAGATCTGGTGAGAAATCATAGGACCACAGCGTGTCTGACAGCATGATTTGATTAGACTACAGAAAGAACTCAGTGGCAAGTTTAAAATATTGGAATAAGTGATCTATGTATTAATGAAGTCATTTTGCCCATGAGAGAAAATGGATCAAAAGAGGTAGACTTAGAAGGTGACTACAGGAAAACAATGACAGAGGATTCTAGAAATAGAGACAAAAAGACTGAAATGTAACATGGGCTACAAATAAGAAGCAACAAGATACACAAGCTGAAGGGCTGGGTGGGACTCATGGGGCAAAGAGGAACCCCACTTAGGCCCTGGAGCATAGCTTCAGTGTCTTAAGGGACAACAGTGTCACTTAACTGGAAGACACCTTGTTGGAAAAGTTAATAGTTTAGTTTTGCATCAATAAATTTGAAAAAAAATGTACAGGCAGCCATATGGGATGTCATGTTAGATAAATAAGGTTATATTAGGGAGATATGAACCCTACACATAAAGCTTTAGAAGATAGTGACAAATAGGGGATATTTAAAGTCTGAGAAGAGAAGGAGATCCCATAAGAAGAGTAGGAAAATGTCAAAAGCAAATGAGCTGGGATGTCCCTGACATCTAGATCCCTGGCAAGAGAAGCAGAAACAGCCAGGACAATATCATGGCTTGAAGCTAACAGGGAGGAGGCTGGAATATGCTATTGAGAAGTCAAGGCAGATGGACAGGAAGAAACCATCAAGTTGAAAGCTGTGACACCTGAGAGGGAGGCTGAGTCAGGAAGATGGCAAGTTCAAGGTCTGCCTGAACTACATAGTAAGACCTGGCTTGGCAGAGAAAGGAGAAGAAAGCAATGTAGGAGTGGTGGCAATGGCAGTTCTCAGATCATCAAAGGAAGGATGCCAGCGCCTTGGGTGACAGAGTTAGGACGACTACTGGACACAAACACTTGAGTGGCTTATGCAGGGCTGCAGAAGTGAAGACTGGAAGACAGTAACAATAACTTTTCTCAGGTGACTTTGCTCTGAAGGGAGATGAGAATGGGAAAGTGCTGTGTCAGAAAGCGAAGGTTAATGGTTTGTGTGCTACACACACACACACACACACACACACACACACACACACACACACACACACACACCTTCTACTTCTGTAGATGTTATTCTCTGTTCCAATAGAGATGCAGCCTAAAAATAACAACCATATATAAGGGACAAATGATGTGCTAGAAAATAAGAAAATTTCCTTCAAATGTGTGTTTATTTTATCTTTAAGTCTGTGACTGAATAACTATAAGAAAACTATGTATATGGTTTTATCAGCCGTGAGATGACTTTAATAAGTTCTTTTGTCCTAAGTCTACTGTTTTCATAGTAATAGCTAATTATCTAGCATCGTGGAGGCCAAACATGAACCAAATCCCTGTGGTACTGAGGAGACCAGTAGGAGAGATCAGCTCTGACTGCTCTTAATTGGTACTGTGATGGGAATAAAGTCTTCACTGTCCTTGGTACCCATTCTTTAACTAGGTGATATGAGATCCCTGTGTGTCTTTGGGTACCATATTTTGAGTGATTCACTTCTCCTGGACTACAGTGCTTGCTGCCATGGAACCTCTCTGTCCAGCTGGACAACCAAATGAATTAGCAACCCTTAGAATTGCTGAGCTAAGAAAAAGCAAACTAAAAATCACACATATCGGGGCACTTTGTAGAAACTTGTATGGATATTGCCACACGCAACAAAAAAAAAATACAGTGTGTGTGTGTGTGTGTGTGTGTGTGTGTGTTTGTATTGCCTTTGAATTCTTAATCTTTCCTCAGACTCCTAAGTGCTATGAGGAAGCAAAATACTCCTGGAGTTGCTGGCATAGTATGGGTGACAAACAGTAGTCTTCACCAAAACTTATTTTGCAATTCATTGGGCTCTGTCTTACATGAAGATTTATGCTTCATCAATTATATAAAAAAATGCAACCCAGCCCTCTGTCCCTGTAACACCATTTGTGTGAAGGACACTGATTCCTTCATTGGTTGGGTGGGGAGGGAATTAAAGGGAAGGAAAAGCCACAGCCTCAGGTATTAAGCCTGCGACATTTTTCTGTTTTCTAGATGGTGTCAACACTGCCCCTGTGCCCAGCCCTGCTTCAGAAGATACAGTTGAAGTCCGTAAAGAGGAAGGTATGAGGCCACAACTAAATGTCACAGACCTTACAAGTAAACTGTGTGCGTTTTGTTTATGTGGGAACCTGAAGCAATGAACAAATGTGATTCTCTTAAGCATCTCTATTTCGAACACCAGCATCCCACCCACTCTGCTCCATTCCATATTCAGCCTCTTTGGGGAATTTATATATACATTTACATGTGTTCCTCTAAAAACTGTTTATAAAGTAAGAGCAGGAGCAGAGAAAGTGTGGTTAGAGAAAAATGTTTATCTAAAACTCAAGAATTTGTCGATTCTGCTATTTATATTGTCTCATCAGGCAGAAGTTTGAAAGAGTTGCATTGAGGACCACCTACCAGAGGCCTTACAACCCAAGGAAGAAATATTTGAAAGGTGTCCATAAAAATAAACCCAGGGCAAGGCCACCATTCTATGGACTACTAGTAAGAAAAAAAATGTTGCTGACCCAAGTAAACCAAAAGAAAAAGATAAATAAACTGGAGAAATTGTTGCTGTTTTAGGAATAAGTGCTATGGTATAGGGATGCAAGCTGCTTTGAATAATAATAATATAGGAAAATAAAATAGTTCTTTCTCTCTTCTCCCTCCTGATTGGTAAGTCTTCCCAGCAGAAATAGTGTGTGGTAGTTGCCATAAGTTGCTACTAAAACCTCATGTGACTGACAGACTAGACTATTATATTTGAACAAATTGGTGTCTTGTAAGCCATATCATCTACTTGGAACTTTAGCATGTACTTTGAACCTATTTCTTCAGTCAGATGTGGTGTGAAAACAGGTGCACATAGCCACTAAGCCTTGCTACACTTGAATCTGTTGAGGAAACCAAAATAGTCCTGAAAATTTAATACTCACTCCATGTAATTCCATGTCCATTTCCTGGTCAGTTTTTGCTTTAATCGCATGCAGTTGAGGGCAGTTGATAAGAATACCAGGAATTGAGTTGTATGCTTGGAACTTGATACTAGCTCTGCTACCAGTTACTTAGCTAACCTTTGACAGATTATTCAAGTAGTGAACAAGTGCTTAGCAAGCAAATACACAGTGAACTTCTTTGGACTTCAGTTTTCCCTTCTGTAGTGGGGACAAGAATAATGTCTACCTTGGGGCTGGGAGTGTGAAACAGTGGGTAAGAAGCACTTTCTGAGTCAGCATGACAAGCTGAGTTCAGATTCCAAACACCTAAACCATCGGTGGTGACCCATGCCTGTAATCATACAGCTTGGGAGTTGGAGGCAAGAAGATTAAGTGTTCAAAGCCAGCTACACTTCAAATTTGAGACCAGTCTAGGCTGGATGAAACTCTGTCTTAAAAGCTAAAAAAAAAAAAAATGAAAATGACAAACTTAAACAAAACCTACTAAGTCCAATCACCTTTACACAGGCATGCCTGTAATCCCAGAACTGAGGCTTGAGAACTGCAGATCACTGAGGCTTGTTGTCTGCCCCACAAGATCCAGATTAAGTAAGAGACCCTGTCTCAAGAGAATAATGCTAAGAACGATACAGGAGGATGCTTGATGAGCTTACACCTGTGCACACACCTATTGCATGCCTGCCCACACACATCACTCAAAAATACCACAACACAGGTTTCTTTGCTCTTTCTCCAGCCCCCAAATAGATCAGACTTTCTAGAAAACAGACTAAGTTAGTTTATTAGGAAGTGGCTTGCTTATCAGAGAGATAACAACTCTCTTAATAGAAAAAGGAAGGGGGCAGAACTGGCTGATGGAGACATTCCACTGCACTGTCAAAAGGGATGGATCCCAGCTGAACTTATAGGAAGCCCCAAAGATGTACCACAATAGGCAAGAGGATCCAGCCATAGATCCTGGGTGATGGTTATCCTGGGATGTATGTGACTGCAGGTTCCTTTCTATTAAAGTAATTATGGAAGCCGGAAATGGATGATATGTCTGGGTGTCTGGGTGCCTGGGACAATAATTATTTCTTAGAAAAGGAGCTCTGAATGAACCAACACAGTGTCCACCACACTGCTGTCATCTTGAGTGATCTCCCCTTTTATTTAATTGCCAGCTTTCAAATGACACTTCCCTTCGAACTATGTAGGTGTATGTCCAGGCATCTCTTATTTCAAAAACATTTGTAATTTGTGTCAGAGTTCCTCAGAGGTTTCTTGAGAAACTCAGTCATTTTACAGAGAAATAGACTGATCATGTAAGAGAAAAGATAGAAAATGGTACTTATTTTAAGCCAAAAAAAGGACATCTCAATCATTTAGGTTATCATAAGACTGTAAAAGCATCATGAGGTTGAGTGACAGTGTCTAGGAAGTAAGAAAGAGGAACAATCTCATTTGAATGCTTGAAGCTGAGATTTCTTGCTGTTGAGTTGTTTAGCTGGAAGACATCACACCTTCATAAAACACACTGCTTGTGATATTTCTTGGTGCTTTTAGGATCTCACACCGTTAATTGCTCATGCGGGGATCAATTATTTTTCAGAATACTTCCAGGAATTTTTTTTTCTTAAAATAAGACTTTTAATGGTGCTAACTCCATCAAAGAATTGCCATGTATCATAAATGTAGTTCCTTTGTGAGACTAAATATGAAGATTTGGGGGATTTTGATGAAATAAATTGTTAATTTCCATTAACTCCTTTGTTTGGAAAAATGTTAGTTAGTATGTAATCTAGTTTCAATTAACAGTAAAACATATAGCATGAGGATTTTGCATTTGTCTTTTGAAATAGCATTCATATAAGGACATTGCTTTTAAATGGGTTATCTGTTCAGAGCTCAGTCTCTAATGCTTGCCAAGCTGTCACCAAGATTGACAGATGCACAGCCTAGAATTAAGAAAAGAATTTTCCTGCGAAATCATCCAAGATTGAGGTCAAGTTGAGGTTAAAAGGAAGTCATAAGTGTTCAGGATTCATTTCAAATCTTTTCTGTTATTAGCTTTCATGCAGAAATATCTGTCCTTGGTGACACCAGGGCTATTTCAGAACCTCACAGTCATAAGATCACTTATAGAAATGCTTATGACACTCTCCAGTGTAAGTGGCAGAACATTTCCCACTGATCAAAGGTCCTAAAGGAGTCCTTGCTCTCTTGACTTTTGGAGATTTCACCCCTGAAGGAGCATCTTGTTTGGGCTTGGACTCACCCATGGTCTGGAATGACCAGGTTCTCATTCTCCAGTATGATGTCCATGGTATCTGTGCCATGTTCAGTGGTTTGCAGTTTTGCTGTTCAATTGGCCAGGTTTACATTTGCTAAGAGTTTAGTCTCCACTGGAAGTTAGCATCTTCTAGAATGTAGGAGTTGAAAACAAGCAAGGTGGCTGTCTTTATTCCAGGAACAGAAGGTATTCTTTTTTAACCAAACAGTTATGTGAAAGTTGAAAAAAATTCTCTACAAGTGTTAGATCCTAAGTGTTGTCTATGATAGTGATTTTCTTCAAGTGTTGTAGACATACTTCCTACTGGGAACCAAGTCTGGATGTTCTTGCCCACTTACCCCACGTAACTGCTGACTGCAACTGCTGTGGCAAAGCGTAGCTATCTGCTTACAGATCATGGTAATCATGGTAGACTATCGTGCAGACACTGAGGACACCTGTTCACAGTGGGTCATTACGGCTGCCAAGTGGGTGGGAGTTGAGATGAGAGGATGAGATTTGAGGAGGAGGAATGCTAATGAATGGCTCATCTACATGGGGTAGATTCCAGAGCCAGGACTAAGATGAAATTAACCTCAATGTGAAGCTGGCCTGGGAAAATATCTGTGGCATTTGGTAGGCATTCTGAGAGTATTTGTAAAAATAGAACGTGAATTTATCTACAGAGAAATTCTCCCTTTACTATCACAGATGCTCCTTTTAAAGAATTTTATACTTTAAATTCTGAAAAAAAAAACTCATTTGAGTTAACAAACATGCAAACAAAGTCCATAAAACACAGGAGTCAAAGTAATAGATAGTTGTTGGTGCTGTTGTTATAACTTCTGCAGAGATAATGTGATTGTTGAATGTAGAGTTGTTTGTCTCCTTAGGTCGGGGAGCATTCTCTCTTCTAGCTGTCTCCATGTTTTTCATATATGTCCTCCTTCCTCAAAACACCTTACTGGGGAGCGGGTGGAGGGAACGCTGTACAAACACATCCGGATTCACCTGCCTTATTATTTAATCAGCACCTAATTCGAATTTGAAGGTCAACTAGACCAAATCATAGGCTCATTAATATTAAAATCAAAATCAATTAATACCCAGGTGCATACCCAAGCTGTGTCCCTTTGGAACTCCATGAAAGTCACACCAATGCTGTTTGGCATTTGTAAGGTAGAATGTCACCGGAGAAAGAAGTTTTGAACCTTTAATCTAGTTTGGGACCTCGTGGAGGTCAAAATGCCTGGAGAAAAAAACAGAAATCTGGATCGAGGTCAGCCATGGGAAGCAGAGCCAAAGAGGAAAGATGAGGTTATATATGAAGAACCTGTGCATAAGGTGTGATCATAAATGGAGCCAATATCACTGTTAGCCTGACCAGCCATGCCAGCTCAGAATTGCTCTATTTCTCTATTCCTTGCCTAAATGCTTAAAGAGAAACAAAACGTTGTGCCACCCAGAAAATTACCCTCCACCTTAATCTAAATTTTCTTAGTCCTTTTCCTGTCCTTATTAGCCGCCATTCCCTTCTGAGAGCTTCATCCTGATACCCACCCTAGCCGGAACAAAACTGTACCCTGTTCCACATCTGCGTGGATAGAAGGTTGGAATACATCTCGTTGCCTCTCAGTTAACCACTTGAGGATTGTCAGTCTTACTAAGCATTGCTAGAAGGCTACCCCTGGTCCTTCAGTGAAGGGAAAGGAACTGGGGCGAACAGCATGTCACGGCTTCACATTTGCCTACAGCAATTTGTCAATAGGGCGTTGGTTCTCAATCTGTGGGTCGAGACCATTTGGGGGGATCACATGACCCTCTCACAGAGTTTGCCTAAGACCATTAGAAAACACAGATATTTGCAT